AACAACTTTTTTGTTAGGTAAAATACACAACAACTTTTTTGTAAGGTTTGCGTGTTTATATATACAACAACTTTTTTGGAAGGTTTGCGTGTATATTTAGATGTACCTTAAAGTTCATGTTCTCTATTTGTAATATTATAGTTTATTTTTGTGCACGAGTATAATGTAAATGAAAAACTATCTTCCAATGTTTTCACCAAACGAATTAATTTCGGTATAAAATTAATTTTATAAAATGACTTGCTATAATGCACTTACTTTCTCACCACGCGTGGTATTGTTATTCGACGAAGTTTTGCCGGCTGTAGAATTAGATGTCTCCATTTTTCGTGTGTGTTAGAATGCAAAGCTTTTTAATACGAAGTTCGAATAGTATTCATAAAACTTAATGAAAAATTTATTTAGATAAAAAAACAATGTTTGTACTTTATAAAATGTAAACTCAATGTAGATAGTAAATAAAAGATGTTTTAATAAATAAATATTATATTGAGATGCATTAATTGGAAATTTTTTTTATTAAAAAAGTTAAATTAATGTTAATGATATTGTAATTGTTCGTATAGTAAAAATTTATTTAGTGTTTTATATGAAATAAGAGAAATAGATTGTTTTAAAATTCCAAAAAATCTTTAACTCATTTTTGTATAGTTATTACATTTTTAAATGCCAATAACAAATGCTTAAATTTTCTTTCTATAAAATTTTAATAATTTTCTGCCTGCATTAGTCTGTATTCCAGCGTTACCAATTCTTGGCTTGGGTTACCACGCAACAATCAAAAGACCATGTTCATGTGCTGCGTAAAGCGTTCTGCGCAGCACATAAACATGGTCCCTCGATTGTGTGCGTGGAAACCTAGAACAAAAGTTTGTAACGCTGCTGTACTGATTATAAACATTTTAATCATATGGCAAACCTATTAAAACAACTTCGATATTTTTATCACTTAGGGAGGAGGATTTTTGAAACGCTTGAAAGCGATCATAATCGCTGAGCGGTTGTATCTCTTCGCGCGCTTGCATTCGGCGGCAGGCTGGATTGATACGTGCTTATTCGGACATCTTTAGTAATTAATAACTCAAATAACTATAAAATTTTAATATTTTTCTATGTAACATCTAAAAATTTAAATGAGCAAATAGCCAAACAAACGTAAGCGCGCGCCGCGCGGCTTCTCAGCGCCATCAGCGCACCTAACGTCAGAAACTTGCAGATTCCACCATCTGCACGAAGTACACTTTCTGTCCACTAATTAACTAACTACAGAATACTGAGAGTGTACACTTCTGCACTTTAAGATCGAAAAAAATTTTTTTTATGAAGAATACTATTATTTTTGATATACACTATCTTTATTCGTCTCCACAACACGTTATATATACATTTTACGATCGATACTAATATATAAATGTAATTAATATATACATCAAAACTGCGAGCTGACAGGTCTGAGCGCCGCCATGTTAGAATGACGCTGACCAATAAGACACGAGCGACATACATATCAACGCGACATACATCCTAGCGAGATGATTTTCTAGATTTCTCGACTTTGAATGCATATATTTATTTTTATAAAGCACACAGAGCAAAAACAAGCAGACTTTTCTTATGTAATTTGGGTATGCGCTATCGATTGAGCCTATTGCCAACTCAATCGGCCCAGCCGTTATCGAGATCCGATAATCTCGGCTCGTCTCAACTTTCGGGCTCGCGTAAAGATACACGGTCGGTCTTGCGCTTGCGTTGCGCGCTGCGCGTGAACTTGGCGCGAGACACTACCGTGTCTCTTGATTTCGCAGAGATATCTTTGATATTTCGGACTTATGTATCAAAGCCCTCCAGCAGTTTAGCTTCTGACGTTACACACGGAGTTGCAACGACTGTTTGGATTAATTAACTGGATTTAGTGTAGCTTTACATACACTAATGTTTCACTGATCGTATAAATGCAGCAAAAACATTTAATTAACAGGCTCAATGCTTCGATTCAAACCGATTTCGCTTTGTAATTGAATCTCCTTTTGATTCTGAAACATCTTATTAGCATCCGGCTGCTCATTATAGTTTATTTTCTCGATTAAACATGTGAGAGGACGAGTGAAGGATGAAATAAATGGACGCGATAGGATGCACGTATTTAACGGCGAAAGGAGCCGGTTTGAGACGAAGAAATGAGAGAATTGAAGAAAATCGCTTAAACAAAACGCTTCCAGCAGAATCGGATGTATGCGAGGACCGTCCTTATTTTCCCGCGACGTTTCTGGGATCGCGTTATCGTAAATTCCCCCGAGGCAGTCGTTTTCCTTGCTTAATCCTTATTGCCTTACCGCGGCGCATATGTCGTCCGGTTTCTTATTTTCTCTCCGCGTTCTCGGGCGTATCCTTTCCGCGTCGTAATACAATTGTTGCGGCAAAAGTGCAGCGTAGCAAAAGTGATGATAACGCTTTTCGCAAACGTTTATTTGTACAATTTGTGACTCACGAAAGAGTTAAATTCCACACATTCCTGGAATTAATAGGAAGCTCCGAACATCATGTTATCTCTTTTTATCGTTTTTTATATTTTCAATGGCTTTTCTCTTTTTGTTTATTTTAATATTACGAAAGCAAGTAATAGTTTCGTTTCTTGTCTTTAATTTCTTCGACGCTGTTATCGCGCGACCTTAAACGATTACAAGCCGGTTAACTGCTCCGATTCTGCGATTCTACCTCCTTTTTCGGCGATTTACGGCGCCGCAGAAATAGACTGTGAATCTTTGCCGGAAAAGTCCGATGCCAAGATAGGAAGGAATCTGTGATTTGATTTTTAGCCGCATGACTCAGCTTCCGATCGGAAATTTTCCGACTGGACGAGCAATCATCCCGTTGCGACGTGTCGGAACGACGATAGCAATGCTGTTGACCCGACGGCAATAACAGAAGATGACATCCGA